GAGATGCCCGACCCGATACACGATCGGTGCTTGCGGGACCAGGTGGCTGAGGAGTCCAAGGGGGAGTCGTCCCGAGCGGGAGCATGGAGATGCCCTACCCGATACTCGATCGGTGCTTGCGGGACCAGGTGGCTGAGGAGTCCATGAAGAAGATGGTGATGAACACATTCCAAATGGCTTGGCAATGCGTCCAAGAGGATTATTGGTCCCGAYCAGCCATGAGAKAAATCATTCAGCGCATATGCAACATGTTCCTGGAAGTGGGTTGGGATGGCCTGACGGTGATGATGGTGGACCTAGAAAACGATGTGGATGATGATGCGGTAACCGCTACACAAGGTCTCACGGAAAGCTGAAGGTATGTTAAAAGCGGAGTTACGCAGGTTTCCTTGACGAAGCCTGCTGTTGAGGGATGCCGTTCTCTCTCTCTCTCTCTCTCTCTCTCTCTCTCTCTCTCTCTCTCTCTCTCTCTCTCTGTATATATATATATATATATATATATACGCACACGTACACACACACCCACACACCCACTCGTACACGCACGCACACAAGCACACGCGCGCGCGCGCGCCAAGTTTGTGCGTGCATGTTTAAGCGTCCGTCTCTGTCGTGCACCGCCGTCTCCACATTTTCTGTGTTATCCACATTTTCTGTATTTGGACKGGGGCCTGATGATGTCTTTCAGAGGGTTATTAGCGCAAGGCTTKGCCTGCGGCMGTACGGAGTTTTCGAATGGACGCATGCAATCATGCAACGTGTCCCGATTGGTTTGACTTATGCTATCCTTGTTCCCGCTATGCAATGAAGTGMTTTTTTTCGAGATATTGCCGCTTGATTGCGGCATCAGTAATTAAGATGAATAGCCAGTACAATATCTCCGCTCAACAGTCCAACACATTAGTCCTGAGCTTTCTCGAAATAGAAGAATGGTTTAAAAAGATTGGAAGCCATGCTTGGCATCGCAGGGAACGATGGCCTGTTCTAGGGGGGAAGAGAGAGAGAGAGAGAGAGAGAGAGAGAGAGAGAGAGAGAGAGAGAGAGGGCGTCATCATCTAATTAGTGGAGCAATGAATTAATAAACGAGATTCCCCACTGTCAAAAGAAACGGAAAAAATAAGAAATGATGACGTAGCCAAATGGCTCGTGATTATCGGATTCACGAAATTCCCACTGTTTTCTATTTTTTTCCTTCCTTTTCGTAGGAATTTGCAATATACCCCAAAAGAGGAGATATATTCGAAAATGCCCTTTTGGGCCGAACTCCTTGTGATGATGCCCTTGTCCCGCTGAGGCCAGTTGTCAAATTTGCAATCTGAACCTGGCCTCTGAGGCCTTCGCCTGCACACTTTCTTACGCCGCCTACGCGGCCGCAACTTTGCGGCATACCCAGCACGGCAATGTGGCTCCCAAATTCACACATGCAAACCCGTTCACGCACACACACACATGCCTGAAACACTCTCTCTCTCTCTCTCTCTGCCACCCCCCCCCAAACTCCCTCCACCCCTCTCCCTCCCTCCCTCCCTCCCTTCCTCCCTTCCTTCCTTTCTTTCTTTCTTTCTTTCTATTTTAGCGTGTGTTTTGCAAGTCTCCTGGTACAAACGAGATTTGAAAAACAGTCTCTGAATGTATCCTGTCCAGTTACAGCCCCGCATAGATTTAGGGAAAAGTCACAAAACCTCCCKGCGGGGAAACCCTTCTATCCATTTGCCCCAACCAAGAAAAAAAGTGCCGCAGGTCCCAAAATCACTTTCGGTGTCATTTTTGCAGCCAGGGGTCCCAAAATCACTTCTGGTGTGATTTTTGCAACCTGGCTGGGCCGGTAACGGCCGCTGTGTAAAAATAGCGGGAAAGTGTTAGCAGCCTTTTGGCTGCTCTATACCTCGGTGTTTTGACGTAGGAACAAATGGTCGTTGTGCACCGACCGGTCGTCCTTTCGGAAGGAAGGTAGTTGGGAGGGTGGTGGGAATTGAAGAGGGCTGAAACTGGGGCGGGTCCTTTAGGAAGGTAGTTGGGAGGGTGGCGGGAATTGAAGAGGGCTGAAACTGGGGCGGGGAAGCGGGTTGGGATGGCCGTTGGCAAAAAAACAAGGGCGCGGTCCGTTTTTTCTCGGAGCGGATGCCCCGACTGGTCCGTTGAGTCGGTGGGTCTTATTGGG